AAACTTTCATAATCTGGAAAAAAAAAAAAAAAAAGCAATTCAAAAACATCTCAGTCCAGGAAGCAAGATTTCATTTCTTTGTACAATTAACTCTTTTTTAAAAAAATAATTTATTGTTGTTTTACAGTTAACTTTTGATTATTTTTGCTAGTAAGTGGAAATAATTGCCTGATAATTCACCACAGTGACTCAAGTCAGTAACATTTGTTCTTGTGTCTTGTACTTACATTTTATGCATCTCTTATTCACAATCCTTCAAATTACTGGATAAAGTCACATTGGCATTGAAATCTTAACTCCACAATTTTTAGAGGAGAAAAATATAGTGACTTTCATAACTTTGTGCCTAAGTCAGTGTTTTCCAAAACAATGCAAATTTTGGAAAGATTTGAGGAAGTAAAATTGACAGGACTTAAACCATCTTTAATTCTTTCACCTAGAGAATCACTGTCAAGATTTGATTCATATTTTTACAAGTCGTTTTCCCTTCTGTGTGTGTTGGCAAGTATGTAAAATAATAGTTTGCAAACTATTTTGTATCTCACTTTCTGTATTTACTAGCATAGACTTATACTTTTGGTATTGATGTTTAGTCAAGGTATCCAAAGAATGCCTTTAGGAAATATGTACATTTTATATGTATATAATTTAAAGTTAAGAAAAGTAAGTTTTTTTTTTTTTTTTTTTTTTTTTATCCTCACCCGAGGATATTTTTCCATTTTTTGTACAGATAGAGTGGGAGGGAGAGAGAGGAAGGGAGAGAGAGAGAGAGAAACATCGATATGAAAGGACACATCGAGTGGCTGCCACCCGCACGAGAAAAGTAAGTTACTGTATCAGGTGTACATTTCACTTTATAAAACAGAAAACTCAAACAACTGTGGCTTAAACAGAATGGAGGTAACCTGCGGGTCTCTGCTATAGTTAATACAATTTTATAGAGCAGGAGTTTAAAATATAGATATCACCAGACTTAACACTTGTAACAAAATGCAGGCTTAGTTCACTATGTATGAATAATTATTTCTTTATAATTAGGAAAAGGTCACATTTTCCCATGTTTTATGTCAGGAATAATTGAATTCACATTGTTCAGTATTATCTAGATTAATTCTTAATTTTAAGTTTATCTTTTGAAAATAAACAGATCCTTTTCTACATGAGAAGTATAGCATAATTAACTTCCCACACAGGAAAGAAAAACTATTTTTTCCAGTCATGTTTATGCTATCATTATCAATTATGTCACCATTTGATTTTTTTGTTGTTGCTAATCCTTATCTGAGGATATTTTTCCATTGTTTTTTTTTTTTTTTTTTTAATCCTCACCCAAGGACATTTTTCTTTTTTCTTTTTTTTTTTATCCTCACCCGAGGACATTTTTCCATTTTTTGTACAGATAGAGTGGGAGGGAGAGAGAGAGAGAAAGAGAAACATCGACGTGAAAGGGACACATCGAGTGGCTGCCACCCGCACGACCAACCAGGGCCAGGGACAAACTGCAACCGAGGTACATGCCCTTAGCGGGAACCGAACCCGAGTATCTCTGGACCGCAGGCCGACGCTCTAACCACTGAGCCAAACCAGCCAGGGCTTTTCCATTGATATTTAGATGGAGTGAAAAGGAGGGAGGAAGAGAGAGAGAACATTGATGTGAGAGAGACACATCAATTGACTGTCTCCTGCTTGACCCCAACTGGGGCAGTAGATCAAACCTGCAACTCAGGACATGACTCTGACCAGGAATCGAACCTACGACCCTTAGGTCTGCAGGCCACTGCTGAACCAGGCAGGGCAACCCTTTGATTTTTAAAAATTTGAAGTAAAATGTTATTTGTTTTTGAAACAAACCTTCTACTTTCATTTAAGTCATTTGTAGCTGATAGGAAATAATATTCTCAATGGAAATAATGTTTCAATTTTAATACCTTTTTAAATTCAAAGATAAAACAACATCCAGTATATATTTCCTGTAGATATTTTCATAACTGACTTTATGATTAAAAGGCCCATCAGATTCACTCTCCTAGAAAGAAATTTGGATTCAGAAAAGTCAGTCTTTCAGGCCTATTGAATGGAAGTTGTAAACTAGGAAGCTATGGGGTGGCCATATTCCACCCCAGGTGCAGAGAAAAGCACAAATGAACAATCTGCACTTATTCTTTAATTCAATAAATGCTCATGGATCATCTTTACATGTTAGGTACTCTGCAAGGTGCTGGGTCTGCAATGGTGAACCCAACAGATGTTGTCCGTGTCCTGTGGAGCCTAAAAAAAAAGAATGTTGGTATTAGTTAATATTTGATTGCAAATTTTGATAAATACAATGAAGAAAAAGAACAAGGGGCTTTGAAAGAGAATAAGATGGTCTGAGAATCATGAAGGCTTCTCTGAGGATGTGATAGTTCAATAAATATATATTGAGGTGACAAATTATTATCCTTCTAGACATAGAAGTCATATTAATTGGTTGCTGTAGATATTTGGCCATACAACATTTATGTGAAACTGTATTTTTCAGGCCACACTTACTGCAACCAGTTATAAAAGAGTATTTATCTGGCTTGAGGTCCCTGAAGGGACTCCAATTCCAGCAATTTCTTCCTAAATATACCTGAAGGTCCTCGGGGTGGGTCTCATGTGTGCTATTTATTTTACTAAACTATTATATAGTGTGCATCATTAATTTTTCTCTAAGTGTTTGTGGCTGTGAGGACGTTACTATTATTCTCATCTCTTGCCTCTGATGTGTCATAAGTCATCCCAGCTGTGGCTACTTTTTACTAATGTCTGCCCTGAGGTTGCTGGAGCCCAGCGTGAAGCTTAATGATGTCTGTAGTGAGTTTGCTTTCTTCAGAAATCACCGATACAACACTGCTTATGGTTTCTGTTCTCAGTGTTTAAATGGATATACAATTCACAGAGCAGGAGTCCTTAACCTAGACTCCGTGGATGGACTTCAGACCTTTTGGGAACTCTTTGATTTGTACACACATTTTGGGGTATGTGGACAGTTGGTGGGGGTGGAGTAAGGGAGGTGAGTTATAGCTTTTTAAGATTTCAAAAGAAGTTCCTCACCTCAAAGGATTAGGCATCACCCTAGTACAATAAGAGGAGGAGAAATGGAAGTCAAACCATGGCCAGCACTGTGCTTTATGTAGAATCACCCACCTTTCCTTCGATATTTCTATACTATCATTGAAGCAGATGTGCTTACCATCTCTTAGAATGAGTTATAGGAGGGTCCTTGGTTCTCGTGCAAGGAGATTCCACTTGGACACCAACCACTCCCTCCCCTTGTTTTCATCTTCCACTTTTCTGCTCATTTTCATTTAGACATCATTTGTCAAATTCATTTTATGTTCTTCTAGTTATATATTTTGAACCTCTTCTCTGAGGGATCAGATTCCTGCAATTGCATATGTTGGTTTTGCATCCCTGATTCTCAGTGCAAATGATCTGGATTCCTGATTATTTGTTAGCCATAAACATGTTCAAATCTACTTTTGAGAAGCTAAACATTTTTTGTTTTTATCCTCACCCGAGGACATTTTCCCATTTTTGTTTAGATAGAGTGGGAGGGAGAGAGAGTAAGAGAGAGAGAAATATCAATGTGAAAGGGACACCTTGAGTGGTTGCCTCCCGCAGGACTCAACCAGGGCCAGGGACAAACTGCAACCAAGGTATGTCCCCTCAGCAGGAACCAAACCGGGGTCTCTCTGGACCATAGGCCGATGCTCTAACCGTTGAGCCAAACTGTCCAGGGTGAAAAACTAAACATTCTTAAAAGCATTTCATACCTTTTCTTTCCCTTAGCCTTCATGATTTGCCATAGAAACATTGAAGAATTGTTAGTTTTCACTTCCAGTGGGATGGGTTTGAAAAAGCATCTTGGAAAGAATATGCCTTCCTTCTGGAAGTCTGAAAGTAACTAGTTAAAAATGAATGAATCTTCTCTTTTCTTTACGGAAAACTGAAAAGATGCCACAAGCTGTGTTTTTGTTAGATTGGGCACCACACTGAGCGTATTGCATAGACACTGAAGAAGGAATCCTGTTGTGAAATTAGATGGAAAACAGTAGTAAACCGAATTTCATTTAGGTGAGTGTTTTTAGAATTTAAATGTTGTTTCTGCCTGTGTGTTTAAAAAACATAGTTCAGAATTTTCCCAGAAATGTAACAGAAGACCAAAGAACACCACAAGACAGCAATGCAGATGTGGAGACTGCCCTGTGGACACCTGGGAGCTACAAAAAACTCATTTTCCACTAGATCTTGTTATTCTACACAGCACTGGTAAACAGAAAGCTTTTAAAATTTTATTTCAGCATCTTCCAAATGTGGGGTCAGTTTTTTCGGACCTCATATAGTTCTGAATGCAGTCAATCAATCAATCAATCATCAATCATCAATCAATCAGGCAATGCTCATTTCCCCTTTAACACAACCCCACTGTTCTCTGGGTTGTGAGAAAGATATCAGGCCATAAATTCTCACGTTTTTAGACTTATTCAACTCCTTCTGTCCAAACGAAGGCCACACCCTCTGTGAACATACTCCAGTAATCCTATTTTCTTTGCCCTTTACCTATTGTTCCTCCACAGCCACTAAATCGTCCACAAACTACACCTGGGATGCTTGAGGACAGCAGTGCCCAGATATAGACCTGCTCATCCTGCAAGCCGCAGCCTGGGGCCGCCTAGGAGCCACCAGGCTGGAATGCGAGCCTGGAGCCTGTGCCCTGGGCCCGACCGTCGCCATGGCAACGGTGCCGCGCGCTCGCCGGAGTCGCGCAGGGCAGGGAGGTGGGGGCAAAGGGGCGGGGAAACGCGAGCACGGAAGTTCCCGCCTCCGACCCGCCGGGCGGCGGCGGCCGTCGCTCCAACCGTCGTCATGGCAACAGCGCGGCGCTCTGGCCGGCGTCGGAGGAGGGAAAAGGGGGCGGGGAATGCGAGCGAGGAAATCCCCGCCCCCGGCCTGCAGGGCGGCGGCGACGGCGGCGGCCCGCAAGGATTTGAAACCGTTTGGCGGCGGCGGCGGGCGATCCGAAAACTTGCATGTAGGGGCGCCAGGTTCTTGTTTTTTCCGATTCTCCCTCCCCCGCCCCTACCCCCGGGTTCTCGCGTGGAATTTTGCCTGGGGTGGCGGTCGCCCCTCCCGTGCGGGCTGGTGCGGGGAGGGGCGGCGTCCCGCAGGCCCCGGGCGGGTCCCCAGGCCTTGGGGGCGCGCGCCGCGTTCGGGGGTCTCGGCGTGGACCTCTGCGGTTTCCCTTGCAGAGTGAGGTCCGGCCGGGCCGGGAGGGGTGGGGCCGAAGTTCGGAGGCGAGTTTGACAAGCGGTCGGCGTGACGAGGTCCCGGAGTCGGACGGAGGGTTTGCCGCTCTGGAGAGGAAGTCCGAGTGCCGGACGGCGGGGAGCGGCCGCGGCCCGCGGGCCCCTCTGCCCGTGTGGCCGCGGGAGTGACCTGTGCGCGCGGCACACTGCGCTGGTCACTTGCCTCCCGCCACTGGATCGGCCACTCGGGGCTGGGGCCGCCCCGGGCCCTGCGGGGGCCGGTTCTCAGCACAGCCTCGCGGGAAGGCCCTGCCCCAGCCTCGAGGGGCCGGGCGCCGCGGTTGTTTCTGCGTTGCTTTGTGTTTTTCAAGTGTCTAAGACCACAACTTAGGAACGATGAACGGTTCTTATCCCCGTCCCTGTGCAGCTGTTTTTCTTATTTGTCCTTAATGTTTAAAGATGCGTAAAAAATAGGAAAGGCAAAGGAAGTGACAGGTGCCCTCTCCTCGTGGTGCAGCGGAGTCCGGGCACCGCGTTCAGGCCCCGCTGCCAACTTTCCGTGGGGTCCCCGGTCTGTCACTGAACCCCGCTGAGCCTCAGCTTCCCTCCTCTGTGAAATGGCCACGAGAAGGTGCCTGCCTGCTAGGGCGATGCATTTGCAAAGCACCCAACATGCTCCTGTCACCATCAGGGCACCGCAACCTTGGCCCTGGCAACACCCGCTCACCAGAGGGGTAAGCCGGGAAAGCTGCGCCTGGGAGACTGATGCGCCGATGCGCACGCGTCAGGTTTTCTTCACGGAGCCATCGTGTGTTTAAAACCGATTACATGCCCCGTGCAGGAATATGTTTATTGTGTCTGGCAAGGGGCATAGTATACTGAGGTGTACTCGTTTAGCGGTTGTTGGCTGCTTTTTCCCCCCAAGGCCTTTCAATACCTGTGGCTCAAGCTTTGCTGACTCCTGTGGCAGCTAAGACCTTGCGGAGGTCTTAGCCCTTGAGAAGGTCTTAGCCCATTTTGTAGCTGTCCACATAGAATCAGGCTTAAAAACAGACAGTGCCAGTTAGTTAAATATAAGACAAGATTCAAATATAGATGATTGCTAGGAGCAAGCATTACTCAGTTTATTTATTTTTTGCTTTTGAAGTAATTTATGTGACTGGTAGACACACTCTAAGCCTCAAAGATATAGCTTTATGTTTTTGTCAATGCTAATAATTTAAATCTGCAATTCTGATAAATAGTATTAAAATGGTTTGATTAGCTGGAACTAAGTAGATATAATTTATTTATAAGATGTAAGTTGTGTAGCAAGAATTCCTTGAAGGTTTGAAATTGTAAATTAACTTTTTGTTTTTGCATTTCATTATTTTGCTGGAAAAGAAAAAGGGGATAAGGAGAAGCAGATTTTTAGCTTTTACCAAATATTACATTGGCTCTACTTTTTTAAAAATGTGTAGTCCAGTATTGTATGTTATTATAGCAATTCTGATTGCCTTTCTAATTTTCAAATTTTTTATTATTAGTTGGAGATATTGCTGACTTATAGGTAAATGGCCAAGTGGTCAGATATAATGGATCTGAAAGCTAGGGATTTCAGAATTTTAATCTGAGCTTTGGGTTTAATTTCATGATTTTTGGGTGAGTCTTTTAATTTTGCATTTTAGTTTCCTTTAGCATTAAACACCATCATCTGCCTGTGTGAAAGAATTTATCGAGTGATTATTAGTGATTATGAGGAATCTTTTTGCTTTAGCCCTAACTATGGGTACTCTCAGGCAAATGGAGTGAACGGGTAGGATGTTTAAGCCTGGGAGTACACTTCTAGGCGAGAGCTGTGCTTAAAATTCTGGGTTTATGAGTTTTCATTTGTTTGTTCACCCATTTAAATAGTTGGCTTTCAGCTTTATGATGTAACATCCGGCAGTGGTATCACAGCCTTCTGTTACCAAGCACATAATTGATATAGTCATGGAGGAATGCACTTAGTTATTGTAGGAAATGAAAACAAAACCAAGCAACCAAACAACCCAAGCCAACCAACCAATCAGAAAAAAAATGATCTTAATGAAGTTTGGATTTAAAAAATGTGTTTCTTCTGTAATGCAGAATGCAGGGTAACCAGTTTTGGTAACTAGCATTAAGGACATATGATATTTCTATTCTAGAAGACCTACCTGGTACTCAGAACAGGATCTTAGAAACAAAACATAGTTGTGTAAAAGTAGGACATTAATCCCTTATGTTAACATTTATTTACTAATCAATTCATGTTCTATTACATACCACATAATGTGCTAGGTACCTACTGAGATATGTAAGTCATGGTCCCTGCCTTTCAGGAGCATCTCTGACATGGTGGAAGACATGTAAGTAATACTCAGATGTGTAAAAAAAATAGCATGATAAATGCTGGTATACAGATGTGAGCAGTGCACACTGAGAACAGAGTAACGAGTCTATGAGAAGTGGGCCAAGTATTGCTAAGAAGGGACATTTGAACTATGTTTACCTGGTTCCAGACAGGGAACAGCCTGTGAAAAGGATGTGGACTCATATGAGGGCTTGGAGTGTTTGAAGAATGGCAGGCAGTTCACTGTTGGTCATTGGTGGGTTGTAGTTAGGTGTGTGTGTGTGTGTGTGTGTGTGTGTGTGTGTGTGTAGGGAGGGGTGAGAGATGGGCTCAAAATGCAAAGGTACCTGTAGGCCTAACTTTGAATTTAGAAAGCATGCTGTTGTAGCATGCAGCCACGAGAAGTTTTTAAGTAGGGAGTGATGTGCTTAGTCTTGTACTTAGGAAATTTAGTACCAGTGAGGACTGAAATAGGGAAAAGTAAAATAGGCTGTAGGTAAGTGGTCAGAAGGGCTTTCTCTGAGATAGTGGCATCTAGAATAGAGATACAGGCAGGGTTTGAGATATTTCTGAGTATTTGTTGATATATTGGTTTATGGGGGTTTAGAAAATGGGAAGTCAGTGGGGCTGGAAAGTCTGACACAGTGAGGAGGTAGTTGATAGGCGATAGAGGTGTTGGCATTAGAGAGACGTAGAGTTCATACTTCTGATTCAGAAGCAGAGGAGGTAAGGATGTGTTCTCTAAGAGGTAAGTTGAAAGGGAATAGCATTTTGGGATGTTGCCATCTGACTATTATTTTTTCCCACAAAGCAAGAGGTAAGATTTTTAAAATTGAGAGTGAGGGGAAGCTGGAGTGCTTTATTTAAGGGGCATCAAGATGTCCGGTAAAAGTTTAAAAGCTGCTTTGTGGAGTAGGAAACAGTACAAGTTTCCTGTGGATTGAGGTAAGATCGGAAGCCATCTAACTACAAGATAGTGCCATTTTTCTCCAGCAAACCCTTAGTCAGGGAATGAAGGAGGCTGTCAAGGGATCGCAGTCTTGCTGGGTGTAAAGAGAAGATCGTGTGGAATAAGGAGAAAGTTGAAGAGGATAAGAGGCTGTGATCAGACAGAAGGGTCTGGGAGGTGATAGTGATGAGAACGGAGAATCCGATGGTAGGAGCCTCATACGAGGGGAATTTTGGGGTTGAGGTTGAAGAGCAGTAGTTGGGAAGGCAGTATGCATCTCAGAAACTATTTTCCTTCCTGGGCAAGGTTGGGGGAGAGAATTTAAGACTCCAGAGAGCATAAGTATGTACTCGACAGAGGACTGGAAACTCGGTTCACTTCTAGACAGTGAAGGAAGTCAGGTCAGCCAGTGAAAGCTAGGGCTTCCTTACAGAGACAGGGTACAGAGAACTTTCTGTGAAGAGGCCATTGATAATAAGATGGAAAATACTTTGATAAATATTAGAAGCTGCTTTAGCAGCACGTGGGTCCTCTGTGGAGCAAGAATGCTTCTGAGGCAGAACAGAGCCTTATTCCAAATATGTAATTTGTAAACTGAATAAATGACAGTTGGAGACCTTACATAATGTAGAGGTAGTTCACGTCCCTTCCAGATGTTTCATAACTAAAAGGAACATGTGGAGTGTGGATAGATTTTTAGCTTAAGGAATTTTGTCAAAACCTACGTTTCTGATTTGGGGATTCACCCCTATATAGTCAGTGTTTTTCTTGCTAATTAGGAAGAAATATAAGGACCAATATTTTAAGTTTTTTGAGGAGAATTTAAAAATTATATTTACATAGTTAAAATAACTTTTTTGGGAATACAGTTCTATGAGTTTTTATGCATGCATAAAGTAGGGTATTACACCCTTCTTCATGGACAGTGTGCTGAACAATTTCAACACCTAAATAATTTCCTTGTGCCACCTCTTTGTATTCAGGTCTCCCCCCACTGCTAACCCTTGTGGACCACTGATCTGTTTTCCTTTTTTTAAAAAAATTTTTTTTCCCTTTATTGATTTAAGAGAGGGAGGAAGTGAGAAGGAGAGAGATAGAAACATCGATGAGAGAGAACATCGATTGGCCGCCTCTTGCATGCCCCCCACTGGGGATTGGGCCCACAACCTTGGCATGAGCCCTGACCGGGAATCGGACCGGCGACCTCTTGGTGCATGGGTTGACGCTCAACCACTGAGCCACATGGGCCAGACTGATGTTTTCTGTGCTCAAATTTTTTTGTCTTTTCTAGAATGTCGTGCAAATGGATTCATACATTATGTAGCCTTTTGAGAATGGCTTCTTTTACTCAGCATAACATGTTCAGAGTTTACTTACGTTGTCATGTGTATCAATAGTTCATTCTTTTCTATTGCTGAGCATTGTGTCATTCCGTGTTTTTGCCATAATTTGTTTATCCATTCCCCAGGTGAGGGACCTTTGGGTTGTTTTCAGTGTTTGGTGATTACAGAAGAAAATAGCTGCTATAAACATTACATTCAGGTTTCTGTGTGAATATAGATTATATTTCATTTAGGTAAATACCTAAGAGTGGGATTTCTGGGTCATGGTCAATGTATGTTTAACTATATAAGCAACTGGTAACCTGTTTCCAGAGTGGTTGCAGCATTTCGCATTCCTACCAGGAACACAGAGAGTCCCTGTGGTTCTGTGTTCCCACCAGCACTCGGTACTGTTTGCCTTTTTTCTTTTAGTTGTCCTATCAGGTGTGTGGTGATATCTCATTATGGTTTTAATTTGCATTTTCCTAGTGATTAAACTTGTTGAGTATCTTTTCATGTGCTTAGTTGTCATCTGTATGACATCTTACTTGTCATCTTTGGTAAAGAGACTAATTTTTTTGCAGATTATTGTTTATTTTTTATTTTTATCTTTATTGTTAAAAGTATTACAGATGTTTCCCTGTTTTCCCTCATCGACCCCTCCCCACCTTCTCCACACTATTGTCTGTGTCCATTGGTTATGCACATATGCATGTAAATTCTTTGGTTTATTTCTTTCCACCCCACTGATCCCCCTTCCCCCTGAGGTTTGTCAGTCTATACCCTACTTCCGTGTCTCTGGATCTATTTTGATCATCAGCTTATTCTGTTCATTATATTACATAAATAAGTGAGATCATATGATACTTGTCTTTCTCTGACTGACTTATTTTTTTATTAGATTGTTTGTTTTCTTGTGGTTTTCAGATTTCTTTATATGTTCTTGATGTAAGTCCTTTATGAGATAATATAATTCACAAACATTTTCTTTTGAGTCTGTGGCTTTTCTTTTCAGACTCTTAACAGAATCCTTTGCAGAGCAAAAGTTTTTTTATTTTGGTGAAATCTAATCTATCAATTTTTTCTTGCATGAGATGTACTTTTGTGCTGCATCTAAGAAATCTTTGCCTTTTCCAGGGTCATGAAAATTGTTTCCTGTGTACTTTCTTCCAAGAGTTTTATAATTTTACATTTTATACTTAGGTCTTTGATTTGTTTTGAGTTAAGTTTTGTATATACTATGAGGTGTAGGTTGAGGTTTATGTAATTTTTTTTGTTTGCATATGGCTGTCCAGTTGTTTATAGCATAATTTGTTGTAAAAACTGTACTTTCTCCATGAATTACGCCTTTGTGGAAAATCAGTTGTCCATGTTTGTACTGGTCAATTTCTGGACTCTAGTCTGTTCCATTGGTTCGTGTGTCATATCCTTTCACAGCACCACATTGTCTTGATTGCTGTATATCTTAAAATTGGGTAATGTGAATCCTCCAACTTTGTTTTTCTTCTTCAGAATTATTTTTGTAATTTTAGTTTCGGCTTATTATTTATACAAAGAATACTGTTGGGATTTTGATTGGAATTGCATGAAATCTATAGATCAATTTGAGGAGAATTAATATTTAATGCTAATGAGTTTTCTTTTATCTCTTTCATTAGTTTTGTAGTTTTCAGCATACAGATCCTTAATATTTTTATTTTAAATCTTTTACAGACTGAATTATGGAAATGAACAGTGAAGAAGAACAGTGGGAGAAACTGGATGCAGAATTTGATCACTTTGTGGTAGATATGAAGCCCTTTGTTTTAAAATTACCCCATAGACCAGGTAAGATTATGTTTGAAAATTAGATTCTTAAGATTAATTTTTTCTGTATATTATTTAATCAAACCAATGTACCATCAAAATGGATATAAAGCTGAATTCTTTTAATATCAATTTTCATCTTAAGCTGATGTAAGATTGTTTGCTTTGAGCTGTTCAAGGGCAAATAGAAGTTTAGTGATACTGTCCTACTAAACCATGGGAAGAAGGTGGTGCCACTTCTCTGTCATTAACTTAAAGCACATGGGTCTCTAAAGTTAGCTACAACTGCTTCTTCCTGCATCTTTTTTCCCTCCACAATGGGATTGTTTCTTCTTTCAGTAGCCGACTGTCACCTGCTTTCTGACTCTTTGTTTATAAAAGTGGGAAGGATGCCCTGGCCAGTTTGTCTCAGCGGTTAGAGCGTCGGCCTGTGGTCCAGAGAGAACTGGGTTCGGTTCCCGCTAAGGGCACGTACCTCTGTTGCAGTTTGTCCCCAGCCCTGGTTGGTCGTGCGGGTGGCAGCCACTCGATGTGTCCCTTCACATCAATGTTTCTCTCTCTCTCTTCCTCTCTCTCCCTCCTGCTCTAGCTGAACAAAAAATGGAAAAATGTCCTCAGGTGAGGATTAAAAAAAAAAAAAAGTGGGAAGGAATCTATTGTTTGACTGAATAAAATTAAGTGTGAATGAGTTTTTGTTGCTATATTTTTAAAAAAATATGTTTTTATTGATTTTAGAGAGGAAGGGAGAGAGAGAAAAAAAAACATCGATATGAGAAACATTAGTCTGCTGCCTCCTGCACACCCCTTGCTGGGGATCGAGCCCAAAACCCAGGGATGAACCGTGACCCGGAATTGAACTATCAGCTTCCTAGAGCACTGGATGATGCCCAGCTAACTGAGCCACACGGGCCAGGGCTTTGTTGCTGTCTTGTCTGCAGTTTCTGGCCTGTTATCTCTAATTATGGAATGAGAGTCTTTGTTTCAAGTTAAAGAATTTTCAAATAACTTAAGGTATACGGAATAATTGGAAAGGGTTTGGGGACCAGGACGATTCTCTGAGTTATACTGGGTATAAGGCTGGCTGTAAAGGTAAATCTGATTGGCAGCTTTTGAGTGGAGGATTTAGAGTGGGGCCAAGAAACTGGCTTTTACTCTGTCCAAGTTTTCTGTTTCCCTGAGGTGTCTGCGGGAACGCTGTAGTCAAAACGAGGAGCCAGGGCAGTCTTCGATGTTTCCAGGGAGCTGCACCGGGAGAAGGGAGGGTAGTGGGAGAGTTATGCGTACTGTGGTCATCCATTGTTCCAGGCCCGCAACATTTTGTTTCATCCTCACTCAAGGATATATTTTAATTAATTTTTTTAGAGAGAGGAGGAGGGAGAGGGGGGTTGGGGGGAGAGAGAGAGGAGAGAGAGACACATTGAGAGAGACACATTGATCAGTTGCTTCCCATATACTCCCCAACTGGAGATGGAACCTACAGCCTAACTATATGCCCTGAGCAGGAATTGAACCTGCAACCTTTTGGTGTGCAGAACCTCACTCCAACCAACTGAGCCACCCAGCCAGGGCCAGGCCTGGGACTTTCTTAGTCCCCGATGTCTTGGCATGGTCTTCCCTCCAAGCTTCTTCTTCTACCCACTTGCCTGTCAGACTACATTTATAACCTTTTCTTTATTCCTCAGCTATTCTTCAAAATGATTATTTCATGTTTCACAGCTCATTCATGATTTTTTTAGTTAATATTTAATGATATTTCTATATCGTCAGTCATCTCTTTATGTTCACTACCTTTTTGTGTGTGTGTGTTAGATCTGCTGATAAGGAAAAATTTTTATTAAAATCTCCCAGTATAAATATGTTTCAAATCAAACTTCTCATAATTATCTTCTTTTTAAAAATGGAGTTTAGGTACAAGAATTAGATTGATTGTAATCTTGGGTTCATGACTCATTGTTAGTATTGGTACATCTCTGGCCTTCTCTTATTTAGTTAATTCTTAATGAACATTTGAGAAATCACACCCTAATCAAGAATCTGGACATTCATAACAACTCATCTTATTGCTAAATTCTACTTTGGAAGATGGCTTTTCCCATTATTTTAAGTAGGAGAATGAATTCTTTTGTATTAATCAAGTTGTACTGAGTTCTAGCCATCCGAAAATTATATAGATTTTAGTTAGCTGCTGGGCATATAGAAAATACATGTTTGGAAAACTGATTAATTAAGTTTATCAGTTTCACTTTTGCATATTCTTTTTGCACAAAGTATGCTCAGTATTTCATGAAATTTGCTTTTTGGTTATATAATTTTCAAAGCTAAAAATATAAAAGTTACTTAGTGGGTAGCTCTCAAACCTGTAGTGATAAATCTGGTATGAGCAAAGTAGTAAATCCAGTCCCAGCGATTTTTTTTTTAGATAAAACAATAAATGAATATGACCTTTAGAAACTAAGAGATTAAAGCAGGCTTATGATTGTGTTAGGTATATAATCCTCAAATTGAGTTAGACTGAGAAAAGATTAGTGTCAAAATAGTTTTCATGACACCTAAAAACGATTCCATGTCATGGCAAGATAAGATAGTCAATAGGTCATTATATGTGGATTAAACTGTGCTATATTTATTAGGTGGTTTTTAAAAGGACTATTATTTTACAAAATTACATGTAAATAGCCTTCACTTATTTTTAGAGAGGTTAAAAGAAACCCTAAATAAATCAACTACAAATCCCTGAAATTATCAGCTTTAATAAATTAAACATTTGAGATTTAATTTTAGATTAAGTTTAAAATGCTTAAATAAATAAGACTGCATTTTATCCCTCTCTTGGTTTGTATAATGAGAATTATAGAAAGATTTTTCAACACAACTACAATTAGTATAGAGATGTTTTTACAGCATACTTTTTATCTCATCACTTTATTTGACAGCAGTCCAGAGATTTCTGAGATAATAGTTCTTTGAATATGTCTTGCCTGATCACTAATTAACTGGTAAACTCTAGACCAGGGGTTGGCAAATTGTAGCCTGTAGTCCAAATCTAGCCTGCTGCCTTTTTTTCCCCCCTCACCTGAGGACATTTTCCCATTTTTTTGTTCAGATAGAGTGGGAGGGAGAGAGAGGTAGAGAGAGAGGGAGAAACACCGACGTGAAAGGGGCACATCAAGTGGCTGCCACCTGCACAACCAACCAGGGCCGGGGACAAACTGCAACCGAAGTACATGCCCTTAGCAGGAACTGAACCTAGATCTCTCTGGACCACAGGCCGACACTCTAACCGCTGAGCCAAACTGGCCAGGGCCCTGCTGCCTTTTTGATAAAGTTTTATTAGAAAACAGCCATGCCCATTTGGTTACATGTGGTATGTGGCTGATTTCATGCTCCAGTGCAGAGTGGAACCGACTCCTGCTCTAGACAAAAGCATGTTTAGATAGGTCTTTCATTTCATATTTATTTACTGAGAAATCAGGTTGCTAATAGTTCTTATGTATTTCTAGAACGGCAGAGGTGTGCGCTTTGGATTAGAAAGCTATGTGAGCCTTCAGGAACAGGTGCGGGAATAATGGGCAGGAAGAATCGGAACCTGTATGCAAAACTGTTACTGCATATGCTTAAGCGAGGAGTGATTGAAGGCCCTTTCCTACACCGACCGGAACCAGGGACACTAAAAACTTTACCTTCATATATGGTAGGTGTCACTGACCAAAAGATGCAGTAGTTTAGTTTCTTTAAAACTGTTAATTTATCATTCTTTTTGGGAATGGCCATATTAATATGTTACAAGTCCTAGATAATGTATTGGTTAAAACTAATGTTTTCTTTCTCTCTGATTCAGTTCTTTCTACCTTGAATAGAAATCAGATAGTGGCCTGTAAGAGGCCTATACTTACTAATTTAGTCATCCCACAGTATTCTGCAGTATTTCTAAAAAATTTAAATTGGGTTTTAAAATTTGAGCCTTAAATTTCCACTAATTTTCACTGTTTATAATAGTAATATTTTACGTATGTCAGTAAATTTTAGGTATTAAACTCTTTGACATTTAAAAATATATAAGAAGTTGGACTAGTAACTTCTAAAGTTCCTTTGTATTCTAATAAAATGATGATAGTAAGTTGGAGTTTAGAAGTGATTTTCTGTAAGTCATTTAATTTCATTACCAAAATCAGGGTTGTTAAAAGGCTGTTATAATTATACTTGGTTGATGAATTTTCACTGTCTTGGTGCTTGTCACAGGCAATATGTCTTGGTTTGTATGGTGTTTGAATGCTTGAGAAATCTGACTAGAGTTCTAGGGATAGGTAGTTGCTATTAGGCTACATTAAAAAAAAAAATGAAGTGCAGAATTCTTGTGGAATGTATTTTAAGATTTTTTTTTTTATCAGTTAAACCAAAAATTTATTCAAGAGGCATGCTGAACATTTAGACCATAATATGTTATTCATAGGAGAATGCCAAAAGTTTTAATGTTATTCCCAATCATATGTTAAAGTAGAGCTATACACTTTGCTTAAAATAAGTAGTCTTTGAAATAGTAGTTACTTGACTTAATATTTGATTAAACATTGAAGTGACTATGTCATTTAAAAAGAAATTACTATGCATGTCTGAGTGGGGATAGAGGGGCGTGTTTCACCCCTCCCTTGAGGATTTCTGTGTAGGATTGGGAGAACTGTTGCAGAGGTATCCAGTTAATGCAGAATTTTCTTCAGAAATGTGTCATGAAGTCTGGCTCACTTAAAGAGAAAGAAATGGGCTAATATCATTCTTCTTAATGACTAAATGTAGAACATTTTCTGAAACACATGCAGATGTTAAGATATGTTTTCATATTTACACTCAATTTCATAAAATCACAGGAAAGGGTTTTATGTTACAAATAATAATGTGAAGGCCTTGTATTTTCCAGCTCATTTATGGCATGGCCAAATGAAACCCCAGGTCTTCAGCTGTTGTTCTCATCTTATTAAGGGATTCCTAATTTTTATTTATTGTGGTTTTGAGCCCACTGAATTTTTGGGGCTGCAGAACAATTAACGATCACAGAAAGAAATCAGAGAGCACATGATTTAAAAAGAACTTTCCATTTATGTTTACATAAAGCTGATATTCCTTTTGTAATACAAATAATTATTTTCAGATTTATCTGTTATGCACTTTTGTCATTCATCAGATTTCTTATATAGCAGAGTACAACTAAAATGTAAATTTATCCATTTTATGTATTTTAATATTTCACAATTCATTGTGCATTGAATGATAAATTTTTATATACTTTTTTGTATACGTTTTTGTAGTTGAATTTGAATATTTGAAAGGTTGTTATCAAACTTGAAACTTGATGGAAATCTTAGCTAATTATTTCATTATAGTACATTTTGAAAGAATAATTTTTTTAATTTTTAAAAATCAGTCCATCTATTTTGATGAACCAAATTCAGCACAAGCAAAAAATTCAAGCCCAGAAGGATTACCGGACTGGGTCATGGGTGAGCTGGGGACGAGTGACCACAAGTTAAACGAATCATGGAAGCTTTCTTCTGGAGACAGTCTCTCCCCGGTGCAGTCGCCAGCCGACGCCCACAGGTATGCCGTGGAGGTGGGTTCCAGCGTGCCTCGTACTTAGCCTGTCTTTGCAACTGGTTCACGCATTCCTTTTTCCTTTTTGTTTTTAAATGGTAGATAGTAGGTTTGCTTCATATTTTTGTTAAAGTTGAGGTCTGTGAAGGGATATTGGGAAGGTAAAATGACAGTTTTGCTTTTCATTTACTGTATATTCAAAATTACTAGGTAGAGTACTGAGCTTAAATAGGATTTTTAGTGCAAACGAAAGTAAACTTCTAAGTTTTTGAAATACACGAAAAGATTATTGTTGTAGTATAACTTTTGGCCTTTAGAAGGGATAGACTGAAACTGGACTTGTATCAGATGTTGAGTTTTACCTTTGGCGTTGTTCCCTCAAATGTTAAATCATTGGACAGCATCAGTTGACATGTACCTTTCTTCATACTTCCCTCCTCACCATTCTCTTGGTAATTTTAATTTTGGAATTTGAGTTGGTTAACAATATATTCTTCTCTACTACATGTTTTTCAGTTTATTAATCAGATATAGAAATGTTATTAGTAATTTGAAATGTTGATATAGTTGGGTTATGTTTTCAGATACGAGTTAATATGGTGGGAAAGAACAGATGAATACAAAGTAAGAGATCCAGTCCTTAGGAACGTTTTTGATTGGAAAGGGGGAAACAAATTAAAACGGAGAGACAAAAAAGGAAGAGGGGAATATAATTAAGGACATGTTCAGAAGAGTAAAAAGGCACGAATAGATGAATCTATAGGAGGTGGTATAAAATACTTATTTTTGCATTCATAGGAGATTTAAAAATAGAAGAGGTGTAATTGTGGAATTTTTGTTAGCCTTGTAAGCAGATAAATGGAGGTATAAAGTGACTGTGATGTGCATACAAAGAAAAATACACTTTTTGGTTTTGTTGTGAAATGCATCAGGTGTTTGCCAGAAGATTTGTTGTGTCTGACTAGATGCTGGATTCCTTTCTGGGTGTAATGAACATTGAGTTTACAGTTTAAAGGTGAACTAAAGGACTTTCCTATGTTTTGGAGTTTGATGAGGTTGAAAATGGGTGATCTTCCTGGACTGAGTGAATCATGCGCATAGATTGGATTTGTTTGACTTACATAATGTCTTTATACTTATTTTTTTATTCCTCACCCGAGGAATATATATATTCATCAGATAGAGTGGGAGGGAGCGAGAGAGAAAGAGAGAGACAGAGAGAAACATCGATGTGACAGAGCCACATCAGCTGGTTGCCTCCTGCATGACCCGACCAGGGTCGGGGACGAACCGCAACCAAGGTACGTGCCCTTGACTGGAATTGAACCCGCTGAGTCAAACTGGCCAGGGCACATAATGTCTTTAAAACTTTTTATATGAGTTGTCAAAATTAACAGATAATTTTGTATAAAAACCTAAATTTCTGGCTTATTTTAAAAAGTGAAAACCTAGCAATCTTTCTGGAAGGCAGTTCTAGGTTGGAGCCACGTAATCTTGGTTCGCCTCTCGTGCAGCGTGCCTTCAGGGTTTCCTGCTGACTCCTGACGCTGCCTTTAGGCCAACTGTAGCTGTTACTGAGCTTGAGCTTTGTTTTAAGCAGGGTTAACAGGATATGAAGTATTTGTTTTTCTATTTTTATATTCTATTGAAAGTAGAAAGAAGAAAGGTAAATAAGGGGGATCACATGATTTAAGAAAAGAAGCGAGACTAGATCTTTGTAAAAGTGAAAAATATGTGGTACCATAATCACCATTTGTTACCTGTTTAGTCTTACAGACCTTTGATCTAGAACCGTGATTTAAATGAGCAAGGAAGCGAGGTAAGTCCGTGGATAATTTCAGTACAGTGGTTCTGCGTAGCTGTGGAAGTGTTCATGAAGACTGAGGTGTGTATAAGAGGAGGGTTCAGGACAGGAGATAGTCTAGCGCTCCCCTTTTCTTCCTCATAGTAGAGGACACAATTTGAGAAACAGTGAGAAGATTCTTCACATATTAGCGATCTTTCTGGAAAATGAAACCATAGTAAAATCTCCACACAAGTTTAACAAATAAATTCTCTTTGTTGCTCAGCTATAATAAAATGGCATTTTAATGCAAATTACTAGAGTATAAGGCTTTAGCAATCAGTTACGTAATAAGTAGTTAATGGGAAAAGCAGGCAGTCCTTTGTTCCTTGTCATTCTTCACATCTCCTAGCTTCATAAAAGCCTTCCCTGACCTCCCAGGTCTGTTTAGGTGACTCTTATTTATGCCCAAATACTCTGTTGCACTCATCACATGTGCAGAGGTTCCCATTCTGTCCTTTTTGCTAGATTGTAAATTCCATGAGGCCAGAATTGTGATGTTCCCGTGTGCACCAGATTGCAGTGCCTGGCTCTGAGCAGGAAACTTGGGAGCTCCATGGAGTTTCCGCTTGGCCAGCGCATGCCTGCCTCAAGGTTGGTTGTGTTAAGCATGGCCACATTAATTTAATCTTACACAACCCTCTGATGTAGGTGTATGGTGGCAGAGAGACTGGCACACAGAAATTTAAAAACAGAAACTTAGGAAAAGTCGAGGGAACGATCAGATTTAGAAGAAATTAAGAGAAGCTGGGTGGTAGGCTGTGGAGATGTGTAGAGACAATGGAGGAGCCGGGAAAGGCCACTTAAATACCTTTCTGGTCAAGTGTCAGGATGTCAGGAAGGCCCAAGGCCAGTTAGGGCTGCAAAACCAGACTACCCAGTCTATCTTTTCTTACACGTTTCTCAATTAATTTACTGAACATTTTTAATTTAATTAACAGGTCTTTGAAATTTTATTTACGTGAAGGCATTTGGAAACTAAAACTACAGTTTGTGTGAGTTAGATCAGAAGTGGTGGTGAAGTCTAATGGTCTGTCTTCCTATTTCTGTTCTAAAACTGCTCCTCTACCCCAAGTGGTCACACTGTGCTAATGAAAAAGTATCTGCTAGTGTGGACCTAATAATCTAATCATTTCTGCAAGAGATTGTTTTTAAAAAGTTTAAGAGGCTTATAATATTTGACACATGTATATTTTTATAGTGAATAATTTATTGTTACTTAGAACTGAAGTTTAAGGCTGCCTCATAAATTTTACAACCACTTCAACTTGTCCTTTGAAAAACCTCTTTAATCTTAAAAGATTTTCCCCCTTAGTGTTTCTTTTTTGATCACTTTATAAAATCCTGCTTTACTTAGACCTTTTTGTATGTGAAGTATTTCTAATGGCATTTTAGATTATGCTGTTTGTGTCCTAGCCTTTTTATATTATTAAAGATGCAGAGTCCTTTTGAAGCCTCTTTGTTAGGGCTCCCTATTCAGTAGAGATGGCACCTTTCCTTTACCTTTATTCTTCCTGTAGGATATGGGATGTAGTCTGGTTCTAAACAGCTTAGAAGTATTATGAGGTTATATTCCATCAGGCTTATTATCGTGCTTTCTTTTTTCCACCAAATATACATTATACTCTAGTAAACTTAGCATTTCACATCAAACAGCTTTAACACTCGGCTAGGTCCGTCCTGGTTTTATTCTTTGCTTTCTTTTCTTTCTCATAGTTCTTGGTTTAAGGTTACATTATTAGCCATGTTTTCTTCTAGAAAAATCACTTTCCAAATTGCATTGCTATTTTTTGAGATCTCTTAATTGTATTTTATGTCAAAGATCTGCTCATTTTCTTCACAATGAAATATGTTAGTTATATTTGAGTTTGGAGCATGGTTTCTGAAATAGAAAATGTTACTATGAGATCATAGACTTAGATCTCATCCTGTACAGGTTGGTTGATCTCATTTAGTTCTACAACCATGAGCTATATCCATTATATTACTTCCTGGTCATTCTTCAGATGCCTGCATTGACATCTGGTGAAGACCTTAATTGTCTTTGTAGCAGGCCGACTTTCAGGCTTCCCCTTGAGTGAGGGCAGGACTGTGGCTTGCTTCTGCTAGAGTATGGCGATGGTGAGGGGACAGCACGTCCACAATTGCAGTACAGTGTATAAGACTGTCCTACTAGCAGACTGCTGTAGAGTCTTGCTCTCTTTCCCTTGCTGGCTGAAGAGGCGAGCTGCCAGGAAGTCTATAGTCATAAGGGAACTGAGGCTGCTGTAACCATACAAGTGGGGAAAGCGGATCCTCCCCTAGTTGGGCCTCCAGATGAGAACCCAGCTCTGGTCAAACCCTGATTGCAGAGGCCCAAGGCAGAGGACCCGGCTCAGCTGTGCCTCCACTTTTGACCCACAGAAACTCTGGGGAAGTATATGTGTTGTTTAAAGCTGTTCAGTTTGTGGTAATCTGCTGTGCAGCAGTAGATGACCGATAGAGTTTTTATCCTCATTTTAGAGAAGTATGCAATCTCTATGCAATACATGCTTATGTTAAAAACCTCAATGTAGCCCTGGCCGGTTTGGCTCAGCGGTTAGAGCATCGGCCCGTGGTCCAGAGAGACCCGGGTTCGGTTCCTGCTAAGGGCACGTACCTCGTGCAGTTTGTCCCCAGCCCCGGTTGGGATCGTGTGGGTGGCATCCAGTTGATGTGTCTTTCTCACATCGATGTTTCTTTCTCTCTCTCTTCTCCTTTCTCTCCCTCTCACTCTATGCAAAAATGTCCTCGGGTGAGGATTAAAAACCCCCAAAAACCTCAGTGTAGAAATATGTATAGTAAAAAATCAAAGCCCTGTCCATATCCTTCTTATTCCACTTTCCTCACAAGAGGTAATAGTCATCATCAGTTTGCTGTGTATCACTCTACAATAGACATATACCCTACCCCCACATACGTAATTACGAAATTACACATTGACTTATACTATATGTACGGTTCTGAGACCTGCTGTTTTCTCACTCAGTGGTGTCTTAAATCTGTGTCATGTAGTCTGTGTTGTCTTTTAATTACAGATTATAGCCTGTATGTGAACTTATTGTAATTTAACCTGTGTCTGTTGCTTTCAATTCTTTACTGTTATAAAGAATGCCTTTATAGAATGTTAACATTCTGTTACATA